GGCGAAACGACTGGGAATGTACCACGTCCACGGTCCGACTCTGGAAATTATCATGCATACAATCGACTCCAGACTAGGTGCGTTCATCTAAGTCGGCCTATCAATATGACCAAGTTGCGAAAACAAGGTCAACAACTTCTGTATGCCATACAGTTTTGAGCTACTTCGTTTATTTTTTATATCATATTAAACTTTGGAGATATCATTTTGTATTAAAGTAGGAGATTTACGCATACCATTATGCGATTCTCCGTTATAAATGCAGATGTCTAAACATTCAACGATGAATTTACAGGAAACATTATTGCCTGTCTGCGGGTAGCCTTACTTCTAACCATCTTGTCTCATCTGGTTACCTCTTATGGTCATTATAGGTCAGGCTGGGCGCTCTTCGAACAAACGATTTGGATGGAGCTTTCGTCGTCGGACTGCTGGTTCTTCTGCTCAAACGCTCACTGCACAAAATATACCCTCCAGCACTGGACTTGTTCACCATCCTCATCAACACGCCAACCAACACCGCCATCTCGTCCATTCGCCTAGTGCAAGCGCAGCAACTTCTTTGCTGGCGCCATCATCATCTACACTATGTGGTATGGCTGACTTTTCCTCTTCTCATCAAGCCTCAACTTCTCCCTTTTCATCACACCTGCCTTCGGTGGTCCCATCACATAACAATATCTCATCGCTTTTAGATGTATCACCGGGTTCTGGTAGCAATCTATCTTCACCACTAGGACCTGGAAATGTATCCCCTATTTCCCCCATCCATGTGGCAAATTGCAATCTGAAGGCAATGTCAGTCGGAAATGGTCGAATGATTCCAGCCTCTTATTTACAGGCCACTTCTGTGAAAGAGAAGACATTGAATCCGTTATGGAATGAAGTGTTTTGGTTGTAAGTTCTATGAGATTATATTGCCCTTAAATTGTAATAGATAAATTTTGATTCGATTTTAAAGTACATAATGTTGGCAAAGCCATCCGCAAACATCTTCCACTAGAAGGCAGTGAATTTTCAGCTACCTTACGTATTTTTGGTGATCGTTTCCAGCGTACCTGTCTTTGATGCACCATCAATCCTCAGCTTTC